CAACAAATGGTTGTCATCCGATTTGATTCCAATCGAAAGATATGGAAAAGAGTACCGTGCCTCGGCCATGAAAGTGCCAGCAGGCTGCAGGCAACATCAAGAAGATTAAGGGCGTTGGGACAAGGATGCTGTGGATATTTCCTTGATGTTCAAGCCTAACGGTCCATTGAATTCGTCGTGCGGGGCCTGCAGTACCGTGGGCGTGTTGGCGGTGGCTGGTGGTGGTGATTGTCGTCGTCGTGGTCGTCGTAGCAACCGCAGCAGCAGTGTCACGCCAAAGCATTGCCGCTGTGCCCGAGGGTTGGTGTGTCATTTCACATCACCTCAGGTCCCACCCCATCGGAGCAGTGATAGCACGTATCAGCCCCGAATCCATGACTTCAGATGTCTGAGGTTTGTTGAAGTTCGAAAATTTGGCGATGGCACCCTGCGGCCGCTGTGGAAGAAGACGGAGGTGTCGTGTCGGAAGCTGGTTGATACTCCCTGGACTGTACTTATAGCCAGCACAGCAATCATCGTTGCTGCCGAAGGTAGAGGAGCATGTATGGCGATGATGAGATTGGTGGCAATGATCTTGTTGATGACGGTAATGCCGGTGGTGATGAGCAGAAGCAAAGGCTGCAGGAGCTGGCGAAGAGGAGACAGCAGGCCTTGATGGAGATCAGAACTCAAGCCGGGGTGTTTCCGTCGAAGTGTGAACACATGAGAAGCATGCACTCATGCTCATGCAGCATGTAGCAGATGGGCGTTTGGACAGCATTAAGCCCAAAGACGATGTTCAGACAAAGCTATGGTAGCTTGGAGGCGTCAATGTCGCCCTTCCCGACCCCGGAACGGAAGGGTTTCCAGTTGCCTTAGATCCGCCAGTCATCGAACAAAACATAGCCAGTCCCGGACATCCCCGTTGAGGCCTGGCGATCGGAGTTCTGGAACAGTGAAGTATTTTCCCTCGTAATATAGAGATCGAGACTACAACAACTGAAAGGCTTTCTAGATGAGAGCAGGGTCAGACGACGACAGGCCCTGATTTCCGCACGGGTTGCAGGTTGCAACTGTCCCTCAGCGTCCCAAAGACTTCGTCGACATCGATGATGAGGAGGAGGAGGTTTCGCGTTTGGGCATTAAGCAATGTTTGACTTGGGCCTTGCTAGTGCTGAATCTATGGGACACGAGCTTCGGATTCATCGGTCTTTGAATGATTTGGATGTGCGCAATTCTGAGCTGACGTCGCTCCCGTGTCTATCTAGAGTCAATAGTTTATTCTTTGACGCTGTTGGGTGCAGGAATCTGTCGATTCGAGAATTAACGAGAGTGCAGCTGGCCAAGTGAAACGGCGATACCTTTAGAAGAAGGCATGGAATTCCCAAAGCACCCACTGTAATTAGGGCTCTAAAACACCACGCTCGGAACATCACTGGCATGCAAGATTTTCGATACCACAGCCGAAGTCCAGGATGCACTCCGTCAGCTGCCAGACAGAAGCGGTACCTCGTGTCCACGACAAACGACCACAGAGTGCCGGTTCTACCGGCCGTGTTTTGTCCGAAATGCTCCGTCGCTCACGAAGGCACGGTGAGGTGGGGGATCGGGGATACACCCGAACGGTGCCGCTTAAGACGTCATACTTCCACGCCAACCGTGTTGGTTTGGAAGTTATCGTTCTCTTCGTGCGATCCCGCAAAGGCTTGCAGCAGCAGCAGACCCTAGACCAATCTTGCAGCGGATATGCTCGCAGCAAGATCTTCCCAACGCACGAAAACCGAAGAAACACATTCCAGAGGACCGTGCGTTTTTCTTGTCTAGAGTGTTGCAACCTTGGACACGGAACCCAATCCGAGCATACAGAGTCCACCTCATTTCCCTGGCGGTTCAATACCTGGAATCCCCGCTCTTTTGCGAAGGCGCCGGCAGCTGATGGTCCGGCTGTCGACGCTGAGGCAGGGATGTGAAGGGCCCAAAATAACATCCTTGGGTGCTCCGGATGCGATCTCGTTGTAGAGGCTTCAGATGATTATGATGGACGGGCCGGAGCCCTGTCAGACACGTTCAGGATCCTGAGCCCGAAGGTTTTTCGGACCCCGATGCCCCCGAATTCCTTAACCCCATGCTACCACGGTTAAACTACCGCTCGTCGAGAGCAAGAACCGCAAAGACTGCTGCTACTGCAACTGCTGCTGCTGCTGCTCCTGCTCTTGTTCCTGCTCCTCCTACTACCATGCTAGTACCTAGAGTGATACCAGTTGTAGCAGCAGCAGCAGCAGTAGGAGCAGGAGTAGGTTTGGGAGTATAGGAGGTAGTGACAGGTAGTAGTAGTCGTCGTCGCGGTCGTCGTTGTTGTGATCGTTGATATTGATGTTATTGTGGCTTCTGAACCTACAACTCTAAACCCGAAAGGAAGTAATTGGCGAAAGATAAACCAGCACGTGCACGGAACTTGAACCGCAACGACCCTATCTCCTGATGAAGTCACATTTTCCTCGACACATTCTTCTTGGCCCTCAAACTCTATCTAAACCTTCAAACCATAATTTCACTCATTCCATGCATGCCTAGACCTCAAGTGGGTCCTGAGTCCGAGCTTGGATTATCTCGAACATCGTTTTTTTCAGGCCTCGAAGGCCCCAGTCCTCATCGGCAGCCCGGAAGAAGACCCTCCGAAGGCCAAAGTGGAGAAAGGGTTTAGGGTTTCGGGTTCTTGAGGCATTTTGAATGCGGCCCGTGATGGCTTAGTTGGAATTCCTCGAAACAGTAACAAGGAGCCCCGAAGCCCGACGTCGTTGACGAGTAGGAGGCGTGTTCTAGCCCCAGAATCCACTCCCTTCAGCACAGCTTGGTGGATCGGTGGTTTGGTTGTTCTGACGTCTTTTGGAGTATTCGCCCACAAGGATGGAGAGCGGGTTTCAGGTCCCATCGCCGGGTTGAGAAATCCGTTGGTCGATCTTTGGTTGAGCATCATTTGCGAGGCTCTGGAAAGGAGTCGATTTCGATGTCGTTTGTTCGCTTCGGTTGCTTCGGGGTTGGCTGGCCGTTTGGATTTTCTGGACCTGCGAGCTCGAAAACCTTGCACAGCTCACCAGGACGAGGCGTCTGCAAAGCGGAAAGAGCCCGCCGCCGCGGAGAAGGCTACAGTCCGCTCTGCGAGTCGGGGGCGGTCGATGGGGAGCATAGGCACATGGCGAACGATCGTTTTTGAGCCTTTTATCCCATGCGCAAACTGTTCTCCCGAATCGTAGGTTGAGATTGGCTCTGGCAGATGCAAGAGAGCGCCCTTCCTCATGTCGAACGTATTCCCGTTCATGGCATGCCAGGATGCAAAAGCCAAGAAAAGAAAAGCCTGAGGCACCTTGCAATCTCGAGACTTGTCGAAAACTGGGGCATTCGAACATCATATCTTTTGGTCATCATGTGTTCTTGGCATTTCTCTCTTGAGATATATTCGTGTGGTGAAATGTTTGATCACTGCTGCTCGCTGCACTATACTATGGCATTACCAGGTTGGATCTTCAACTGTTCGCCTAATCGGGGCCTGGCATCTACAGCTTGCATCTCTTGGCGCCATCCGAGGCAGTCACGCCTCGATGTGACGCTGCCTTTGTAGTTTAGCATCGTGCTCAATTGAGTAAGTATAAAAATGTAGAAAGGCTGGTATCCAGGACAACAGGATTCCTTGAAAAGAAGACTCGAATGCTGTTCACTGGTCTTTGCGCATCGAGTAGGGGCCAGCTCCATGTATCATCAGAACCAGAAATTCAGGATACTACAAAAACACCTCGGGTTCCTAAGCTGCGCAGAGAGCGCGAGCGGAGAGCCTGGCCGTGAGCGGCCATATACCAAGAGGGCAGACCTGCCCGAGATGGAGTTGAAAAAAGCGCCTAGGAATTAGGTTTAGGGATGTTTTGAGCCCAGGGTTCAGAGATTAGGCGAAGACCGACTTCCGCCATGAGGCAAGGGTCGGGAACTTTGGAGATAAGTGTTTCAAGCTGAAGGCTTCGACGTATTAAGACACAACTCTCGCGGCCCTTGGATAGTTGTTGGTCAAGAGCCTGGTGCAAGAGATCATGGCCCCTTCCAGCCCAGGAAGAGAGGCAAATAAATACTGATACGCACCAAGAGTGTTCGCCTGCAGCGTCTAGCTACCGTGACAGTGATGACTGTATCCTGTGATAATCGGTGAAACACCAATGCAGTCGTCCACGGCACTTCCCTACCCTGAACACGTCAGCACTACTTCCGCGGAATTCTCCCGAGCTTGAACATGTGGCGCGCCGGTTCGAGGGTGGACTTCTGAAGCTTAGGCAGACAATTGATAATGTTCTCTCTCTCGAGAGAGAGAGAGAGAGAGAGAGAGAAAGAGAGCAGCTTGGATCCACAACTTTCGGCTGACAACAGCTCCAGTTATGCAGATCCGGGAGACTCTCGGCAGTACTTGCTGAAACGTGGAAGTAAAAGTCCCCGGAAAGCTCCGACCCCCCGAAACCCGATCGTCAGGTAGTAATTGACAGCCTCAGCAGTCAAGCCTGGACTGTAATGTAACTGTAAAGCCGGCAAACTGTAGCTTCTCCACCAGGCCTGCAAGCTCGTACCTACGGTTGATGATATGCATTACCCAAAATAAGGAATAAACCCTAATTTCCATAGTTTAGGTTCCTTACGGTAATGCAGGATTTATATCATCAACAGTATTACTCGGGTCTGCATTGAAGTTGCTGTGATTGTTGTATGTGGATAAACATGTTTTGTTACCACAACCAGCATCACCACTACATCCATGACTGACATCATCACGAATGCTGGTGTTGGCAGCGCTGTCTAACTATCAGATTGCCAGTGTAAGACCGTTGGCTCTAACCCTTCAACTTCCCTGCCTAGCGACTCGTTCGGCAATGTGGGAAGACAAAAAAGCCCTTACACCCCAAAATCCAGAACCCTCATCCCTACACCCACAAACACAGGACCCTACGCCCTAACCCCCGAAGCACTGGTTGCCATGGTCACCAACCATGCAGCTGGGCTGGATTTGGCTCCTCCTTCTCCGCGCGACCCACAGCGAGGGAGAAGGCTTCAAGTAACATGTTCGGGGTTTTTAGGGACATCGAGTTTAGGGTGTAGCGATGTAGAGTTAGGGTTGGGGGATAAAGAGTTTAGGACTTAGGGTTTAGGGATCTAAAGCTTAGGTATATAGGGCTTAGGCTTGTATGGTTCAAGGGATATTAGGCAGATCCACACATTAAGACATATAAGCACAAGCTATGCATTCGAACTCAGGAGACGCACCACAATCGTGAATATTCCGTCTTCGGATTACACTGTCGGGTTCACGCAATCGTAGCTCCCCGCAGGAGCATGCCAGTGCGGAGGAAGCTGGGAGCAGGCGCGACAGGGGAACAAGCCATTCAAAACAAATAGTCTTATATTATTATAGTATTGTAGTAGTATAGTATTATAGTAGTATAGTAGTATACTATTATTAGTAGTATTACATACCACCAAACCCTAGTCTGGCCATTACGCACCCTATAGTAGCACTCTACGTGACTGCTCATGCGCATCAAAATCGTGAGCAGCCGGGCCGACTAGTGGGCATCTCCATCGGCTCGACACTGCAATTAGGGTACCTTATTTTGGGGTCCTTATAATAAGGATCCTACGATTTAGGGTACTATATTAGAGTCCCCTATTTTCATGTTCTTGTTCTGATGTGCTCAAGATACACGACAGCAGCACTCACCTCGCGGAAGCTACTGTCCTTGATCATTGCTGGGGTCTGCTGCTCCTCCAGGCACAAAGCTGATTGTCCATAGCATCAGGGCCGCAGCCAGCACAGCACAGTTTTGCCTATAAAAAGGTATTTTGCACTTTGCTAAGTAGGGATGTCGTCGTCACAGCAGAAAATGTTCCTCGACAGATTCGGCTGGAGATGTGGGAGATGTTCCGGCCAGATCTGGATCTCGCAGGACTGTTCCAGCTGGTCTGAATGTGTTAGGGTTTTTTCTTGGATTGAGACTACTCTTTGACAGCGCGGACTCGTTTCTGCCGCAACAGCTCGGTCTCATTAAACCTGAAATTCCACTTTCCGATGCAAGGCACTCGTGAGCACTCGAACCTCCAGTGTTTGTTCACAAGATCTTGCCAGAAGTTTGAGGACTTACGGACTGCTTGATGAGCAACGAGTGCAGCGACTATTGGCGGCATGAAGCCCATCTCAGAGCCGGTTTGAGTTTTCTCAGATTCGCTTGAGTACCAAAGGTTTTTCCAGGCTTGTCAGCTGCGACACTTGGGACAACCGGAACTGCAGCTGACAGGGATAGACAGGCCCATCAGCGCGTCATAGGCATCAAAACAAAACTTGATAAGCATCTAAAAAATTTGATAGAATCCTAAAACATCATAAGCGCCTTAAAGCATCCTAAACCCTCCATGCATTTTTTCTTGATGCCTATCATTTGCTTCATGGCTACCGTCTAAAGCCTAAACCCTCTTATCATTTTTTTCGATGCTTATCAATCTTTTTGATGGCTACCGTGGTATTTTTTTGATGCTTATCATTTTTTGATGGGTCACCCATCAGCACACTCTTTCAGGGTATGGAAGCCTCACGTACGCGCCCATGAAGCCCAAAACAATCCAAAACACGTTCTTGTTAAAATTGGTGGTAAGTAGTCTTTTCCACCGTCCTTGCTAAGCTTCACCTGAAGCCGCAAGGATGCGGACCTTGCTGCAGCGGCGATGCTGCGGGGCACTGCAATGTCTTGCTCCGAAGAGGACTCGCCGTGTGCACTATCATCGATCGTCCCGGTGTTCATGTCGATCTCTTATGCCTGCAAAAACCTGCAAGTGAAGAATGGTCGTGGCAAAATCTGCAGTATTTCTTTGGGCAGAGGGTCGTAGACGCCCAAATTAACGTTGATTGAGCTCGAACCCCTGGTTTTAAGCGAGAGTAGAGATTCCAGATACTTGTAGCATGAGACCACTCGACTTCTGATGGGAGGATACCGGACGTTGTCTATCGAAGACCTGTAGCACTTACCAGGTTCCTCTACCCTAAACTACTTCAAAGCTGCAAGCCGAGATTCCAGCCTCGAAGTCCCCAACCTCGACCCCTAGCTTCGACAACCGAGGGTTTCGGGGTGTTGAGGTTCAAGTCACTAGGAAATCCGTGGCAATCCGAAGCCTGCGAGCCAGTATCCTAAGCATCCAAGCGGCGATTTCCAGGAGCTTCCCAAAGTCTCTTCGCTGATTCCGTGCGCAGCAGGTACCGCTGAAGAGCGAGGGATGAGGGCATAGGGCACTTTGGGTTTGGGCGTTCAGGGTTTGTACAACTTTGAGGCCCAGGGCCCCGGCGGATGCAGTAGCACGCTCAATGCCACAAAGTTAAGCTGAAAGCTGCATTGCCGGCAAATGCAGCTACGTACGGAGCATGGCGATGGTTGTTCTGCTTGTCTCGAAGTCAGTTCAGATACGATCCCTAAACATTGATCCTGAATTCAACGACCCGCAGCAACAAGGCAAGGCCCATCAAACATTGTGTCCATTCGAGGCAGCCTTTGCAGGAGATTTCAGATGTCAGGCCAAGGCCAGTGTGTGGTAAGGCTGGCATGTCGATGAGAGCACGGACAAAAAAACATCAGGAATGGCAGGGCACGAAGGAGGAAAAGAAAAGCAGACAGAAATCAGAGCAACAGAATACAAGCACGCAGCAGCAAGGCCGTTACTGGGTTTGTCAAAACCAATTGACAAATTGTCGATAGTTTGTCAGGCTTGAGCAATCCCTGCCCACATGAGCGCAAGATGAACGCAGGAAGATGGAAAGGTAAGCTCTGAAGTCAACAAGGTTGAGAATTTCGGGTAGTAAGGTGCTCTGCATCTTTTTTGCTTCTAGTCAGAGGTATTTCTGCTAAGCGAGCTGTTTTCCCAATTGATGCGTCCTGCGCCTGAAACTCCAGCACGAGGGCCCGAGTCTTAGTTGCATTTCGGTTGCCACCGCCGCAGATTCCCTGCATTAACTGGCTATGGCGGCTACGGAGTAAACAGCAGGAACAAGGCTATAAGGACAGGCTGCCTTGCTCGTTGCCCAGACCCCACAGCTTCTTCCGTCTGCAGGCTTCACGCACTACATGATAGCATGCGCGCTGCAGCTTCTCGGGTGACAAGCGTTTGTTCTTGAAACTGCAGTGGGAGGGACGAAAAGGTCGCAGAGGACTATCTGCAGTAGCGCACGGATATGGGAAGAATACTAAAATTTATAATGATTATAATGATACCACTATATACCAATCATAGCAGTGATAGTAAGACAGAGGTTTGAGGATGTGGTGCTGGAAACCGGCGTGCACTGTTGACCAGCTGTGTTGCATATGTCGCGGAGATATTGGGCAAAAGCAAGTCGAACAGTTTCGTTGTGTAGCGACTTCTGGCATGTCTGTGACACTGAGGATGTGGCTCAAAGGTTATAGCCGTCAATCTGCATTGCGGCTTGGCCAAAACTTCCTCACGTTGTGTGGTAGAGATCCCTTGCAACCGTCCAACAGTGGACGCAAATCTCCCACAAAGACACCGGAAACTGCGAGAGCAGCAAGGAATTCGCAGCGTCGCGGCTGCCGGCGAAAGCTTCACACAGCTACTGTTGATCCCATTCTGTCCCTTTCTTGGTTCTTCGCCTCCTCACTTCCAGTGCAGTGGTTCGTCGTTCCCGTCCGTGTGTTCCTCACTGAATGCACTGAAGCCCACCTGTTAAAGCTGAACCCGTGAGAGTGCCTCGTACCCGAAAGTTTACATGCTCAACACCTTTAACTTCTGCATTTCAAAAAGGGATTGTGAATCCAAAGACAGAGGTATTGGGAGCAAGGTCTCGGCTACCTTTCACTGTGTTTGAGTTGCTCGGCTGCTGGTTGCGTTTGCAGATGTCCAGGCTTAGGATTCAAGCTTTCAGGATTTTGCGCTCTAGGGGTTGGGGATTGCTCGATGGTTGTGTTGGCGGTGTTTTCTTGGGCCTAGAGCTTCAGTGCTTCGGGATTTCAGGACTCGGGATGTTGCTAGTTCGGGGTGTAACGACTGAGGGCTTACGGCTCTTACTCCATCCACAGAACCCCTTTTGTCTTCCCAATCAACCGACGGAGAGGACCTGACCTGGAGCAGTTGAGTGAAGGTTAGCTTTCAACTGAGGGCTTGTAAATTTCAAGGCTAAAAAATTCAGGGTTTCAGGCGTTTGATGGAAAGCTTTTGGGTTTGAGGCCTGGGGCAGAGCGCTTGGCTTAGGGATATGGGGTATTGTGACCACACAGCAAAGGTTGCTTGGATGGTTCCGAGTGGCCGCTGTGGTCGGGCCAGATCCTTGAGAACTGGCAGTGCCCCGGCTGACGGTAACATGACCGGGAAAATCAGGAGATTCACATGTTTCCGGCTCCTTTATTGCAGGATTTCGGTGATTTCCTCAAGCCCAACTACAGAGATTCTCGTAACACTGTGAGTTCAGCTGCTTGGACTGCCGGCCGACGGAAGGGCATGAGCCAGCAATGACGTTGCGGTGTTTCGCCGCTTCGAGAGTTCGACTACGGAGTTGTGATTGCGTGGGGCATGTAACATTATAAACGACCGATGTTTCTGCAGTCTAGAAGTAACGAGCGATCGGAGTAGCCAGAAATTTGCAAGGGATGAGCGCGTGCATTAAGGAGAGATTAGATGAAAAAGGCCTATCTCGAAAATTGCCGGGTATCCCATTCGCCAGTTCCGCATCCAGTGCAGCTCAACGTGGCTCACTGTTCACAAGTACTGTGACAAAGAAGCTGCTACCATGTGCAAACACGAAACAATGCCGCACGGCTTGTCGGCCAAAGAACGCACGAGACCGGGGCCTTCGAATGGCAAAGCAACAGCTAAGTATCCGACAGCTCCAGGGATAATCACTTCGAGGCTGGTTCAACGGCGAAAAGCAGTATACAAGTGAAGCTATTCTGTCTCCAAATGTCGACACAAGCAGAAGACCCTTTCAATTTTGATGGCGCTACAACTGATGCCAAGCCTCGGCATCTGATTACTTCTCCACAATGTCATGGTCCACAGGCCACCTTCAATATTTACTCGCGAGAATCACTAGCGTGGTGAGCTTGAAATGAATTCTTGTGTATGCGCAGAGCCGAGCAGGCTGGTTTTCGATCGAGACATTAGTGATAAGTTTAGAAGTTTGCAGAACATGTCCGATCATCTCCTAAAACCTTGATTTCCAGCTGACAGAGCGGTACCTGAGGAACTTTCTGCGCACTGCTTTTCCGCCCGCTGCCGTTGTGGCGGAGGAAAGGCAGAGCGGCGACGGCTGCTTGGTGAACAAAACTGGGCATTTAGGACAGTTCGAGGTTCTCATTGGCTCGGTTGCGTCATGCCTTGCTACCCTACAAGGACAGCGTCGGAACTAGCAGCTGCCGAGGTAAGTTCCTTTCCGTTGGTCCACCAGCACATGCAAAGGCAGGGATGTCGTGTCGCATTCACAGGCAGGCAAGTCTGCGAGATGTACCTACTTGCGTACATTTGGTATGTAGGTGTTTGTTTCTGTGCATGTGACCCACAAAGTTGATCAAAGCCTGCACACGTGCTGGCGGTCCAGCACATTGAGGGTTACTTGTATGTAACTCGGCCAAACAGTCACGATAATCACACGACCTCCACTCCCCAATCGGCAAGGCACAGTCAGGCGAGTAGCCTATGTCGCCGTGAACGGATTGGGGCCACGGCCCGGTTGGAAGTAAATCGTTCTTACTACGCACGTGTGCTCGAAGCCCTGGCAGAACCATTCCCTAGAGTTGCCCTAAAGCCATTCGTGGCTTCCTGAACATAGCCGTCAGAAATCGATTCGTATGCCAGTCCTTGAGCTGGTGGCGGACGCTGCCGCGACGTGGCCGCTACTGCCCACCACAAGTCCGCGAAGGCTTCAGTGTTTAAGGCATGAAGTTTGCCCTGCACTCTTGGTGCCGTGAGAAGTCCAGGCCTAAGAACTCAAATTACCCGAGTCCCGGGTGAAAGTAGGTCCTAGGCTCGCGTAGTTCAGGATTTGTGGCATGTAGATTCGTGGCAGTCTCATCCAGCAGGAGACCATTTGGAGGGGCTGCTAGAGAATGATGGGGTGAAGGACAGGATGCGCGCTTGAAGCACATGTGGATCACAATATGCACTTTCGGGGTTTGGGGTTGCCTTCGAAGCTCGGATTTGGTGTGAGGGGCTGACGGCTTTCGAGGTCAGCTGCACTCGAACCTGCGACAGTTGAGCTTTCAGAGATCATGGCATCTTCCGCTTGTGGGATCTGGTGCACACATTGCCTGAACGGGCTTCCGGCTTCCAGGTGTCGGCCTCCTGAGAAATGCATTCTGTGGAGTTCAGGGAACAGATCAAGCCTGGGGTCAGGAGCTTCAAGAAGCAACATACACAAATTCAATGCCTCCAAACCAAACCCACAGCTCCCAAGCTTATCCAAGCTTCTTCTGGCCGAAGGAGCCGACAGTACTTTGTGCCGTTCCTCTGGTATGGCCTGGCGAGGTGTGGCTACGTCCTTCGAGCTGTGTGTATCTAACACCATCTTATGGCCAAGTAGAGCACAGCATCACGCACATGTGCGATGTGTATCTTGTATGGGCATATGTACATATGTATGTATGTGTGTAAGTACTTAATTCAGAAAAATACTTAGTTTGTTAGTGAGCTAACTTAATCAATAATGATTAATTAGCTAGCTAATAAATTCACTACTTAATTAGTAGTGGTTCATTCCTTAGACTATGTGTAGATCTATGTATATGTATGCGTATGTATGTATGTATGCATGTATGCACGTATGTATGTATGTCTGTATGTATGCATGTATGTATGTATGCACGTACGCACGTATGTATGTATGTACGCACGTACGTACGTACGTATGTATGCATGTACGTATGTATCTGTGTGCGTGTTTGTACGAGAGTATCTAAAACCTGTAATAGCTTGTCGTGATTAACACAACGATCATGTTTTGCAAATTCCTTAGCTCATGTTGCAGTCTGTTCAATTTGATGATGCTGCACCCTAAAGTGCGACCGTGAAACGTGGCTTAACATGCAGCAGATAGGAGATAACTAACGTGAGCCTGCACGCAATGTGATGTAACCAACCATACGATTTGGTCCAGATCACGCAGAATCCAAGAGGAGTTGGCGGCTGCAGCCATCGTGGAGACTTACGGTCCCCGGTGTGACAAGTGCCCTTCATTGCAGAGTCTCAGGGACATGT